TCCCTCACTATCTTTAGTGAGTTCTGTACTGCAAACTCAGTGGGTGAAATTTGCTCTTGTGAAAAGGACCCACACAAGACCAATGCACCTTTTAATGAGCAAAATTCTCAACTGATAGAGAATGGAGTTCTGTGGAAATCAATGGAGCTATGTGAATTTACACCTGCTGAAGGTATGGCTCACAATATCATAAGCCACTCAGTGCTCAGATGGTGCTTGTGCTTAACTCTCTGTACATGGGTGAATTTACCCATGTATGAATGGACAAACCCACCCTTACATGAAAGGGCTTCATCAGCTTTTAATAAACCATATGGTAAAAACATTTTTCTGTTACCTTCAGGCACTGTTAAGCAGCTGGTATTAATGAATAAAAATAGCCAGTGAAATCACAGCATGTGGTTGCTAGGAAGGAACAATTTATAGCCAGGAGTATTATTATAGATTATGGGGTGGGGGGGAGGAGGGAAGAACTCATGACCTCTGAATTCATGTATGATTTCTACATTTCATCTAGATCTAGGGCACCTGTACCACTCAAGGCAACAGAATGCTGGATCGATTAACAAATATTAATTTTATTCTTACCACTGATCAGTACAGGGAATGGGAATCTGACAACTGAAGTTTTTTAAAAGGGTCATTACTGTCATTTGTTTTCTTGTCACTTATAGCATGATGTCATTAATAGAAGGCACAGGACATTTTATAAGGGAAGTTTCCCTCTCATATTCAGTGCCTCTCGGAAGTATTTTCATATAATCCATATGTAATCCATAAACTGTACCACTAAAGGTGACTGTCATATTACTTAGTTTAATGTGAAAGCAGTGTACCCCATGAGACAGATATTCATAGCTGTGGGTTAGATTTCCACCTTTCTGTTTAGTAGAGTTCAACAGGACTTCAGTGAGTCCCTTTCACATACAGAGAGCAGTGGCTAATTGCAGAGCCAAACAGGGGTAACAGTAGTAGAAAACTAACTAGAAAAGTTAAACTGCTAATTTTCAGGAAAGCATCTGATTTAATGCAATGCCACAGTATAAATCAAAGTTCCAGGGCTGCTCCCTCCTATCAAAAAAACAGTGGAACAAAAAGTGTTGGGCAAGGGAAGGGAATGCTAGCCAAATGCTCTAGAACAGTGTTTTTGAAAGTGTTCTGCAGAATCACTCTCAGAAACACATTAACTGGCTGCCCCGGTTTGTTTATTTACCAATGCCACGGCCACGGAGCCTCACGGCTCCCATTGGCTCTGCTTCGTCCTTTGCAGCCAAGGGGAGCTGCGGGAAGTGGTGTGGGCCAGGCCACCACTTCCTGTGGCTCCCCTTGGCTGCAAAGGATGAAATGGAGCCAATGGGAGCCGCGAGGCTCCGTGGCCACGGCATCGGTAAATAAACAAACCGGGGCGGACAGTTAATGTGTTTCGAGAGCGATTTCACGGAACGCTTTCAGAAACACTGTTCTAGAAGATGCAGCAGGACAACTTAGTACAAACTAGGTGAGCTTTTACTGGCACTGTTTTCCATCCAGCTCAATGAAACCTCTCTGAGAAGCCAGCCCTATCCCACTTCCCGCAACTGCCATTGGCTGATAATGGCAAACCGCACCCCCTGGGAGCTGTGGGTGGCTGTGCCTGCAGATGCTCAATGTCAACAAACTGTCTTGCAGCCTACTAGTGGATTACCCTAACGGGCCATGAGCCAAAGGTTTCCAATCCTTGAACCGGATGATTTAGTGATCTCTTATGGCCTTAAACTCTGTGAATCTATTTTACGTGCAATGAAAAGGAAGGAGGTCAGCAATGCAAGAGAAGTGATCCACAAGATAATCTCTCTACAAAGGTGCAACCTGCACAGTGAAAATGTCTGTAAACTCCTATTTTAGGCTAAAAGAAGAGGTTTTGTACAAAAAGTCTCATCCCTAATTAGATTCTTCTGCCATTAAAGTTAATGGGAGCAGAGTCAGGTCAGTGTTTATTTGCTTTTGAAAGTCTCACTCTTGCAAGTGTCCAGAGACATTTCATGTATCATGAAGGCTGTTACTGAGTGGATATTTCAGTCTCCATCTAGCTCACAGTGGAACAGAGTGAAGGTCTGTAATGTTTTGTGGCAAGCACTAACAAGGACTTAATCACAGGAACATTCATCAAATTATAAGCAGCAGCAATCATTCAGTACTTGGGAGCACCAAATGTGTTTTGGCAGGCAAATAGGCCTGGAAGAGACTATAATTACATTTTTAATTAATTCATTTATATTTAGTATTTTAGCTCTTAGAAACATGCTTCAAAAAGCATTTGGAATTTTTTGTTTGCTCTCCATTGTGGGTAATGACTTTTTAAAAGCTGGGAAATGGTTTGGATTTTGAAAAGGGGACTCAATTAGTGGTATGATAAAATAAAATGTCCTAATATTCCCCTCTGGCCTAGGTATCTGAGGGGCAGTGATCCTCTGCCACTTTCAGTGACTTTTAGTGGCAGTTAGTGATACTCTTACTCAGGCCATCTTTAAGGCTTGCCTTTCAAAGCAGCTGAGCACCTGCAGTTCCCATTGTCTTCAACAGGGTTTGTGAGTGTTGAGCACTTGTGAAAAGCTCATTTATTTTTAATGTAGCTGTCACTGTCTTCCTAAAAACCAATCTTAGCTAAGGACTTAATGTAAAAAACCAAAATGACAGTAAGACAATTAGTTCTTCATGTGAGCAAGATAATTACAGATAGATCAGCCAAACAATAATTTGAGATATTTGTTCTGAAAGCAGAACTCCACAGGCATATAGCCAAAGACTTAGAAGAAGGAAGTTTTAATATGCATAATTGTCATATTTTTGCTAGCTGTCCATAAACTCCAATTCTTAGACTCTCACATTAGAGCCATTTCTAATTATATTCAGCTGAAATTTGACAGAAGAGCTGCCTATCCTGATCTTGGTTTTTTTGGGGGTCTTTTGGTAGTGGTGATGGGGTAAAGGAAAGAGTTTTAACTGGAAATAATATTTTTAAAACTTAGAAAGCAGCCAGTACCATACACTTTTCTAGCATTTGGAGACTTCAGTGGCAGAAACTGCAGATTAAAAAAAAATCCCTGCAGTAATACCAGTATCTGTGCATTCACTACAGAAAGTGAAATTTATGATGCTGAACTCTTTCTCCTTGGTCCCCAAAAGTTTTAAACACAATCTTCTCACTTCTTCCAGCACTTCATAGTGAGTCTGGCTCTCTGGGGTTAAAGGACTGAGGAGGGAATTGCTTGGTTCCATGAATTCTGACACTGTTTTCCACAGTGTGGTGGTGATTTTATCTGATATCTCATTCCTATGGGTAACAAAAGCAGACAGAGCACATATGCTGCTGGTGTTGTAAAGCATCCTGGGCTTAGATGCTGCTAGCCTGTTGCTTGTTGTAGTTATCACTGACTGATATGGGAAAGTGTCCTATTCTTCAGGGAGAAATAAGGTGTCATCCCTAGAAATCTTTGGCAGAGTATTTCAGGGCCCTGTCATAGAAGTGTCATTGAGATCTCTCAAGAGGATTCAAGGGCCACCCATGTGTGCATAAACAATGTACATGCTCTGCATGGTCCCATCCCCACCAACTCTCAAGGGGGATGAAAAGCAGTTTGCAACTCTACCTCTGTTGATTGTACCATTACCTCATCCAGCATGAATAAATTAATGAAAAGTCAAAAAATTGTGTCTTGTTGTTTTGGGGATGTCATTCCAGTAATTGAAAATGTATTTACACATTTACCTGAAGTTCCTTGCCCTGCATCAAGCTCACCTGTGTTTGACTAATGAGACTGGCTGGACTGCAGTCAGTTAAAAACAGGTCCTAGTTCACTACACAGCTGGGTCTGCTAATTGCCTGTCCCCCATACTTTTCATCCACATCTTCCTTGTCCACTACCACCACTTCCTCCTTACTAGTCACAGCAGGGGCTTGACCTGGCCCATCCGTCTGTCCTCCCAGCAGGCCCCGCTTTCCTGCTCACCCCACTGGGATGCCGCATGCCATGGCTCACTGCTGGGCTATACTGCCAGTAGCTTGCTTAAGGCAGCTTGCTGCCCTGCTGGCCCACAGGGTTCCCTGCTGCTAGCCCTCCACCCGGACTCTCTGGATGTTGCTAGACCAGAGAGTCCCAGTTTAGAGAGTTTCAACCTATAGTCACATACACAATTAAGACAACCACCTAACCTCAAGATGATTCTTACCAACAACCACAGAACATACCACACTAATACCAACCCCATTGCCAGCTTTGTCCACATATTCACTCTGCTGATACCATTATTAGACCTAACCAAGTGAGTTATAAGATCAAGAACACATATTCCTGCGCATCCAGATATATAATTTATGCAATCATGTGCCGAAAGTGTCCATCTGCTATGTACATTGGACAAATGTCTCAGACACTTCGCCAAAGAATCAATGCCCACAAAACAGATATTAGACAGGATCACAAAGAAAAAACAGTTTCTTGCCATTTCAACCGCAAGGACATTGTCTCAACGACTTGATTACCTGCATCCTGCTTCAAAGGCCTTCTAAGACTACACTTGAAAGAGAATCCTCTGAACTGTCATTTATGCTTAAATTCAACACTTTACACTTAAGTTTGAATAAAGACTCTAATTATCTTACCCATTACAAAGATAGCTTCCCCATTTATCACTTCTAATATCATTAGCTCACAGACATTTACCGCCCCCCTCATCTCCCTTCTGTTCTGAAATTTGATTTGTCCTTTTCATATGTGTTCATTTTTTTTAATTGTATCCTTTGGTATATATGGTTGTGACAATTTTCTTCCACTATTTGATCTGAGGAAGTGGATCTGGCCCACGAAAGCTCATCACCTAATAAACCATCTTGTTAGTCTTTAAAGTGCTACATAGTCCTGTTTTTTGTCAAAGTGTTTTTTTCTTTCTAAGATTCAATTTCAACAATAGCAGCTGTGACATCTTCACTCCATCTCAGCCAACTTCTTTTTTCTTTTTAGTACCACCTTTAATACCATCAAAGAGACTGCCAAACCAGGGATTTTTCTACCTCTCCAGCTAAAGGTAAAGGAAACAGAAAAATTTTGTTAAAATGAAAGCCTTATTTTAATACTTTACGTTTCAAATGCTTTGTTTTTCCTTCTTTTTTATCTTTAATGTAAGGTTTAAAAGGATTTTAATGGCGCGTGTTTGCCATAGTGCTAAAGAGGCAGAGGTCTCTGTATGCCAAACCCTGAACCTTTTTTAATGTTGTTTAATGATAGACAGTGACTAAGTTATGTTAAACCTTTGGCCTTTATATTCCATCCAGATTAATACAGCATATGCATGGTACTTAGGTGTGGAAAGAAATTGGAAGCATTTCCTGAAATGTTTTGCATGATTACTATGCTACACATAAAAGTTTTAGAGCAAGTGAAGGCTAATTCAGTGGAGACAAAGATATTGTAAATACTGGAAACTGTGACTATATTTGTAACTGACCTTCAGAGGGGGACAATCTACTTTCTAATCATTTTGTTCTTGATGCTTCCTATGCCTGAAACTCTAGTAGGATCCTGAGCTAATTATTTCAAAATATGTTCCCAATAAGCAAATCAAGAAGGGACATGGAATCTGATGAAAATCAAATGTGTGCAATGTTACATTACCACTCAAATCAAATGCATGTCCGTCACATTAACACTTTTCGTAGTTTCTTTCCACCTGGATTAAACTGGTTGTACTACACTGCATGATTGGTCTGCGTGACTACAATGGTCAAAATACAGTGTAGGAGGAAGAAAACGATAGCTTATTGTTTATCATTTAACTCCCTATGTCATTTAGAAGTATAGAATGCTAGAATATGGGGGAGACTTACACACAGACGCCATTGTAGGACATATGACATGCAGACAAGAACATAACCTTCCAATTTCTCTTCCTTATTCAATCTGCTATTAAATTCAGCCATGCTTTTTAATTTATATCTCAGAATAAACTTTGGAAATCTTAATATAAGGAAAACTATCTCATTTATATTAGTGGTGGTGGGTGCTATAGAAAACACTAAGGCTACGTCTAGACTGGCATGATTTTCCGGAAATGCTTTTAACGGAAAAGTTTTCCGTTAAAAGCATTTTCGGAAAAGAGCGTCTAGATTGGCACGGACGCTTTTCCGCAAAAGCACTTTTTGCAGAAAAGTGTCCATGGCCAATCTAGACGCGCTT